AATTATAGATTTCAGAAATTATAGATTTTCAGAAATTATAGATTATATATTTTATAGATTTCAGAAATTCAGAAATTCCCCAATAAGATACAAGTTTTATAGGTTTTAGGAATCAGCATTTTTATCTAGGATTCCTCAAAAAACAGTTTTATAGATTTCAGGAATTAGCATATCTATCCAGGATTCCCCAATAAAATATAAATTTTATAGATTTCAGGAATTAGCAAATCTATCTAGGATTCCCCAAAAACCAGTTTTATAGATTTCAGGAATTAGCAAATCTATCTAGGATTCCCCAATTAGATACAAGTTTTATAGGTTTCAGGAACTGGTAAATCTATCCAGGATTCCCCAATAAAATATAAATTTTATAGGTTTCAGAAATTATAGATTTCAGAAATTATAGATTATATATTTTATAGATTTCAGAAATTCAGAAATTCCCCAATAAGATACAAGTTTTATAGATTTCAGGAATTAGCATATCTATCTAGGATTCCCCAATAAAATATAAATTTTATAGGTTTCAGGAATTAGCATTTCTATCTAGGATTCCCCAATAAGACACAAGTTTTATAGATTTCAGAAATTATAGATTTTCAGAAATTATAGATTATATATTTTATAGATTTCAGAAATTCAGAATTTCCCCAATAAGATACAAGTTTTATAGATTTCAGGAATTAGCATATCTATCCAGGATTCCCCAAAAACCAGTTTTACAGATTTCAGGAATTGGCATTTCTATCTAGGATTCCCCAATAAAATATAAATTTTATGGGTTTCAGGAATTAGCATTTCTGTCCAGGATTCCCCAATAAGATACAAGTTTTATAGGTTTCAGGAATTGGCATTTCTATCTAGGATTCCCCAATAAGAAAATTAACAAATGCAGTAATGCCTCCCTATTCTAATGAATCCTGGATGAGGTCAGAGCTCAGTTTACACAAGATGTTCTGGACTGAAGGCTTCACCCAAGGCTGAGCTCGGGTTTAAGCTTCACCCAAGGCTGGAGCTCAGGTTTAAGACAGCACAGAGCACGCTGAGCCCTTCCTGAGAATGTTTGGTCTCTCTGCCCAGCAGAACTCCTAAACTAAACCGGAATATCAGCTCCAGGAATTACAACCATGTGGACTAGGAATGCATAGAGGGTACAGAAATTGTAAAAATGAAAAGCAAAAATCATCAAACATCAGACACGGAGCTCACCCACCTCCAAGGTGCTGTCCCCCATCATGGACGCCTTCAGCATGAGGTCGGTGTCACCGAGGTCGCTGTGTTTGTGGCGCTGCTGCGTCACCTTCCAGCAGAAGAGCGCCGTGAGAGCGGCGAGGATGAGGAGGGCGAGCAGGGGGACGAAGATCATCAGCAGGAGGTTGGGAAGGGAAGGCGGTGTTTCCAGGGAGTCTTCTCCTGGGTGGGGGAAAGGATGGGTTTGGGGTTTGGGGTTTGGGGTTTTTGGGGTTGGAGCCGGGGAGAGTGGCTCTGTCAACCCCATGGGACAAGAAGGGACATCTGAGGGACATCAGGGACACCGTGGTGACCGTGTGTCACCCAGGAAATGGTGGCTCTGCAGGTGCCTC